ATATATATATATATATATATATATATATTGATCAGAGAAAGGGTCGTTGGCTGTCGCTTCTCCTTCAGCTGAATACCGGAAACCCCAAAGTTTTATGAGCGGTTCGCCTCGGGCAGGAATGTGGGTGTAATCTGTAGGAGTGAATCGAGAATTTATGATGAAAATACCAATTTTTTTATTGATATAAGAATAATGGATTGCTTTATGATGTTGGTTGTTGTGATGATGGTGGTTAGGATGGTAATGGTGACATAGACATAATGGTAATGTAGATGCTGATGAGGTAAATGATCATGGTAATAGTTACAATAAGAATGATTATAATAATGGCGATGATAGTGATGAATACAATGATGACGATGATGATAATGATAATGATGATAACAGAATAAATAATAGAAATAATAGAATTATAGAACAGCACAACCAGCACTACCCTTATCACAATCAGCAACATCAACAACAATAAAACAAGCGTAAGACAAACAACATCCTGGCATTGTTAAGGCTAATATGGCGGCCTTTTTATCGTTTCGGTGAGGGTCAATTTTTGTAATTCAATCTCCACGAATTTCTGATTTGACGAGAATAAGGCGAGCGAGATTGAGAAATTCTATTCTTCGTGGCCTTTTTGTGTGTTTGTTTTGATTCTGCTGTTTTACTTGTTTTATTTGTTTATTTATTCTTTTTTTTCGTTCTGGTGCTTAAATTATTGTTAAAGTCGTTGTTGTTAGTTGTATCATTACTGTTGTTAAGCTTATTCATACATACACATACACAAATATACACACACATGCACACACTAGTGATAATGATAACAACAACTACAATGTTAAAAAAAATAATATTGAAAATACCAATGATATTTATTATAATGATAATAACAATGTTACTGATAACGACTGAAAACAATGATAATGATAATGAAAATTATTATAATAACGCTGCTACTACATATAATAATAATAATAATATAATAATAATAATAATAATAATTATTATTATATAAACAATACTAATGATAATGAATTTAACAATGACAATAATGACCGTAATAACAGTAATTATCATTGGTATTAGTACTAATAGCAATACTAATTATCATTAGCATTACGATGATAATTAATCATACCGATATCCTTATCATCAATTAATAAACACCAATAATAATGGCACAAATAAAAGGCAAACAAGATAACTACGCATCCCCTGGTTAGCTTTGCAATTATTAATTTCTCCGCAGCTGAGGTAACATTTTCCTCGAGTGTCGCAACACAGCAAAACACCTGCGCCTTTGTGGGTGTGACTTCCCAAGGAATCTTTTGAAGGAGATTAATGCAGGCGGTCAGAGTCATGTTAATAAACGCATTTTTTGAGGGGGGAGGAAGAGGAAATATCTTTTTTTTGTTTTTTTTTTTCCTATTGTTATTAATGACTCGTTGGATCGTTTTGATTCGTATTATTGTTCACTCGTTTGGTCGTTTTGATTCGTGTACTTATTGTTTGTTTATTGTTTTCTCGGGGTTTCTGTTTTAGATATGATTTAGATCACTGGGCAACTTCTTCGTTAGGGTGGGCTTCTAAGTCGACCCTCCGGAGAAATTGGATTTGTGCTTCTAGGGACGCCGGTACCTCCCCGAATACACAATTAGCTATGTGGAAATAGTTTACTAAGAAACGCATGTTCTCATTATTGAGCACGATTCTGTATGCTATTGACGCTCACATAAAGGCATTCTCTCTTTTCATCATCTCATGCTATTTATGCCTGCACATACACGCATGCACTCGCGCGCACGCACACTTACACACACATATATATGAAGGTATACACATGTATACGGAGAAAGAGGGAGAGGTTACTAAAAAGAATTAACAAAGTATTACAAATACGAAATTAAAGTCTGCTCATTATTTACAGTCATTTGTTCTTTATATATATATATATATATATATATATATATATAATATATATATATATATATATATATATACACACATATATACTCGTATGTGTGTATGTATGCAGGTATGTATGTATATATATATATATATATATATATATATATATATATATATATATATATATATTCACAAGTAATATTGAGTTCATTTTAAAATAATCCTTTCATTGCCGGACGAACTGAAAATGTGACTCACAATTTGGTACCCATTCCTCGCGCGCGAGACACAAAATCCTCATCAAAAAAAGGAAGTAAGCTGATGGCGGTAAAATTCCTATACATAATTCCATTAGAAGTAAGAGAATCCTATCAACTAAAACTCATAATCCCCCCTCCCCCTCCCCCTCCCCCTCCCTTCCCCATCCTCTGCGATATGCTTCGTTTGTCATTCCGAGTGCCTCTGGGAGTCTATCCTCTTTAACGTTGTGTTCTCTGCGCCGCGTTCGAACGTGTTGCTCGATGGGCGAAACTCATTCGGGATCTGAAGCGGGAAGGCGGGCGAGCTGTTCATTAAGAAAACTTGTTATGATACCGAAATCTAAAGATTTTGGGTGTTGTCCTTTGGAATATCGATACACAAACTGTAAACAAAAACGTGGTGTATAAGAACATAATTTATTGATTTACTTATATTTTTGTAATGATAACCTGGAATGTCCTTGCCTAAAGCATTATAAATAAGGATTAATTTCATTAGCCTTCGTCTGTAAGAACACTTTCTCGCTCGAAGTCGACGCCCCATCAGGCTACACCGCCTCTCAAGTGTTCATCTTTAAGTTGTCCCTTACTCACATGCCTTTCCTCGAAGGCGAACTTCCCTTGTTCAATTTCCACTTTTTATGCCTTTAAGAGTCTCTTTACTGATGACCACGTCTATAAAACCCAAAGGCAACCCAAGTGCGATCGAGTCTAAGCAAAAATAACACCAAATATCTTCGATGTTGATTTTGTGTGAGGGATGACGCAATAAGCGAAACTATTGGCTACTGCTGGAGCCCTGCAGCCAATTGCAGCCGAGACGTTGGGTAGTTTTCCATTGTGTCTCGTAGACCAAGGTTAGCCAAAGAAGCACGGGCTGCTGGTCCATTGCTCTGCCTCTTTGTTTGTTTATCTTCCGGTTTGTTTGTCTGGCTATCTTCCTATTTGTTTGTCTGGTTATCTTCCTATCTGTATACTCTTTTACCTGTATATCTATATACTTGATTGAAATACCTGCGATTCTGTTTGTTTATCCGTCTGCCTGTCTCTGTCTCTCTCTCTATTCTCTCCCTCTCTCTCTCTCTCCTCCCTCCCCCTCCCTCTCCCTCCCCCTCCCCTCCCCTGCCCCTGCCCCTCGCCCTCTCTCTCTCTCCCTCTCCCTCCGTCGTTTAATACCTTTGTCTTTGTCCCCTGAATCAGGTAGGATACAATCTTGCCAACAATTCATTCCTGAATGCTTTCGTAACGACACTAAACAGGCTAACTACGGATTTTCCAGTTATAAAACCATCATTGCAACATTGTGATGCCATGTGATGATTATCAAATAAGCCAAACACTGTTTGCTTACAAAAAGCACAGTATAGAAAGAATTATATTACTGTAAATTCAAACGCAAATACGTTTGTATGCATATACTGTATATTCCTGTATATCTATGTCTGTCTGTCTGTCTGTTTCTCTCTCTCTCTCTCTCTCTCTCTCTCTCTCTCTACACACACACACACACACACACACACACACACACACACACACACACACACACACACACACACACACACACACACACACACACACACACACACACACACATATATCAATATACTTATTCATGAAAGCACACGCTCAACTTCCTGAAGCTTCAAAAAAGAAATGATTTTTATGGCTACTTTTAATCAGGCGAACCGCAGCAGCCTCACTTCAGGGTGCGCGGAGTAATGCGACTCTAAGATAAACATTACCTCATAGCCTTATATAACGCTACTGACCAATTAGAGGCGAACGAGCAAACCATTAATAATGTTATCCTATATGTAGGGATCATTAGGCGCAGGAGAGGGTAATTGGCTTCCGTAAATGAGAGGTTAGGAGATCGGTGGTTTGTGGGTTCGCGTAAATTGCGTAATGGGTTCATCTGTGCGCGAAGTTAGCGTAAATATTAAATCGGATTTAAAGATATCTACGTCTGGAATTATAATTCTAAAGGTTCTCTTATTAATTGCTATGATTTTAATGATTTTTTCATTCGGTAATGTGTGTTAATAATCACAAAACAAACAAACAAATATGTAAACAGAAATGGAATATTAAGTATATGCTAATGATGTTTAACCACAAAGACACCAAGATTAGCCATACATATTCAACAACGCAATTATATTACAAGTAGAAAAACAGCATCAACGCGTGAACCGTCAAGTTGTTTTATCACTCCTCGAAGCAATTTTCTTTGGGGGGAAAACACAATTAGGCCTAAATCTTAAGACGCCCCTCAAGGTCACGGGGTTAAGGTCAAACCAGCGACGTGAAGGAGGAGGCGCTTACGTAATGGAGCGGGTCTTTCACGGGCGGCCTGCTCCGTTTCGTCTGCTCTGGGCGGGGGCCGATCGAGGGGGAACTTCCGTGTTCGGGGAATCGGTTTAAAAGCGGTTGATAGTGTATCTAACGTATATTTGCATGTATGTACTCAACTCTTTGTCTGTCTGTTTCTGTCTCTGTCTGTCTGTCTGTCTGTCTCTCTCTACACACACACACACACACACACACACACACACACACACACACACACACACACACACACACACACACACACACACACACACACACACACACACACACATTCTCTCTCTCTCTCACTCTCACTCTCACTCACTCTATCTCCTTCTATGTATATATGTATCTGTATAGCCTCTTTTCCCTGTCTGTCTCTGTCTCTCTCTCTCTGGCACGCACCCACATCCACATTCAACCAGACACACACACACTTATTTCACAACATAATACGAATACCAACAGCAAATCCATTTAACTAAGAAAGATCAGCAGGACCGTCCCCTAACCCCAATCTCGCCCACAGGTGCCTTCCTGATCCCGTACCTGATCATGATGGTGCTGGAGGGGGCGCCGCTCTTCCTGCTGGAGCTGGGCATCGGGCAGCGGCTACGTCAGGGGTCCCTCGGGGTGTGGACCCACATCTCCCCCTGGTGGACTGGCCTGGGTGTCGCCTCCACCATCGTGTCATACCTCGTGGGGCTCTACTATAATGTTATCATTGCATGGTGCTTCTACTACCTGTTTAACTCGTTTAAGGTGAGGTGATGTTTTATGGTTATTTAATGACTTGGATGATTAATTTATGAGTCATGTGTTTTTTGGTTAAATGTGGATCCGAATGGTAATATTTTATCGCCTTGGATAAATTAGTCTCGTAGGAATGAGACAGCAAATGATTCAAAAACCTTTCGCACTGCAGGGTCCGAATCATTTTAAGCTGACATTTATTTCATCATTAAAACAGCCACGTTACCTCCCGAATTTCCCCTTTCCAGAATCCGCTCCCCTTCGGAACGTGTCCCAACGAGACGAACGTGGAACTCAATTTAACGCTCCCTGTCGAAGAATGCGAAATGTCGAGCGAAACTGCCTACTTCTGGTACAGACAGACGATCGACGCATCTCCTTCTATCGACGAAACGGGCGGCATAAAGTGGTGGATGGCTCTCTGCCTCACCCTGTCGTGGATCTTGGTCTGGGTGTGCATCATGAAGGGAATCCAGTCTTCGGGCAAGGTCAGTCATTCTGTTTGTTTATTCTCGTTTTTGTTTATTATTTTAAAATAAATATCGTTTTTTTTTAGATTTAACGTATCCATGCTTTGTGTTTTTTTTTTTCCTGCAAGATGGCGTTTTAGTCTTGATAACTTTAAAGAATACAGCACTATTTCAGCGTGTAAAAATATGGTGATATAGCTTTAGACATGACGTTTGATAAAAAAGTAATTAATCAATTTCATCTTTCCAGGTCGTTTATTTCACCGCGCTCTTCCCTTACTGCATTCTCATCATTTTCTTCGGCCGCGCTGTGACGCTGAAGGGAGCAGGAGAAGGCCTCAAGCACATGTTCACACCAGACGTAAGTCATGGAGCACAAATTGACCCCCTCCCAAGCCACAAATATTCGTAAATAATTTGATATTCAAGTCCTTACAAATATCCGCAAACTAGCGCGCGTGGACACACACACACACACACACACACACACACACACACACACACACACACACACACACACACACACACACACACACACACACACACACACACACCCACACACACACAACACACACACACACACACACACACACACACAGAGAGAGAGAGAGAGAGAGAGAGAGAGAGAGAGAGAGAGAGAGAGAGAGAGAGAGAGGAAGAGAGAGAGAGAGAGAGAGAGAGAGAGAGAGAGAGAGAGAGACAGTTAAAGAGGTGAAGAGGTAAAGAAAGAGAGAGGAGAGGGAGAGAGAGAAGAGAGAAGAGAGAGAGAGAGAGAGAGAGAGAGAGAGAGAGAGAGAGAGAGAGAGAGAGAGAGAGAGAGAGAGAGAGAGAGAGAGAGAGAGAGAGAGAGAGAGAGAGAGATAGCGTTCCCTGTATTTAACTAGACAGTCCAGAGTTAACTGATTTTGGATAACTGGCGCTAGGTTTCAATCAACCTAATTCTGAGTAACCTTAAACTGACTCATCCTTACCTCCTAGTATCTGACCACCCGATCCATAATCCTGAAAATCCATTTCAATCTCGGTTCCAAAGGCAATATAGGAATACAATTTAGGCACGTAGTCCACGGGTTCTGAATTCGATGCATTTGTATGCGTGTTCTGTGAGTATGTTTCCGAATGGCCGTTGCCTATCCCAATCACGCACAGCGCTATGAATTATATTTACTTGTTGTGGGTTTGTTAGTGTGGTATGTCTGGTATTTGTATACGTGTTCCAATTACTGAGGTTGTTTTAGTCGTACATCTTATAAGGTTTGCATGACTGAAAGTCTAGCTATGTATATTGTGAGAATTTGAGGTATGGGTGCAGTTGTGTGATAAGTGTCGTTTTTTTCCTTATTCATTATTATAATAATTATTGGTATTATTAATATTATTATTATTACTATTATTATTATTCAAAATCTAGGTTGCGTGTTGTGCGAGCTCCTGATTGTAGTACAATGATCAAGTGGCATGTTTGTAAATATATATAATTCAGATATAAGTATGTAGTGGGTATTAATGATGAGAATAAATTAACATCTTGGATTGAAACCTAGTCGATTACGTATTGAATTTTGAAAAGTATAAGCTAACATCTAAAGAAATATATAAAAGTGCAGCTTGCAATCGACTGATCAACATTATACTTTTACTATGAAATTTATTTCTAAGCTAAATATTGGAATTATAAAGGACTATAATGAATAATACCTTTCTTTTTAATCTGAAGTTCTTGTTTCTCTTTTCACCGATAAGCTTTCAGTGTTACGAGAAATACCTGATAATGCACAGCACCCTAATTAAATGAAAAATAAAAATGATAATGACTAAAAAATAAATAATGAAATAAAGTTGAATAGTTGTTAATCTAATTATAGAATATAACCTAGCAATGATGCTAATACAGGAACTTTATCCTGACAACATATTTCTAAAATATGAATGATAAATGAAAGGCGTAATTTTCTGGCTTGTTGGCGCTTTTCAGTAAAACCAAGAATACATGCATATATTTCGAGAATATAATAATTATGTTCAACGCTCTTTGGACCAGTAAAGTAGCCACTGACCAGACCACTAGTTGAGAATCTTTGGTCATGGAACACACACACACACACACACACACACAACACACACACACACACACACACACACACACACACACACACACACACACACACCACACACACACACACACACACACACACACACACACACACACACACACACACACACACACACACACACACACACAGAAGACAACGCCTTCCATGGAGTTACCTCGACCTTACAACCAACCCTCTCTCCACAACAGATGAGTAAATTATTAAACCCGACGGTGTGGATGGACGCTGCGTGCCAAGTCTTTTACTCCCTCGGCCTGGCTTTCGGGTCGCTTATTGCCTTCGCCTCCTACAACCCCATGAAAAACAACTGCAAGAGAGACGCCCTTTTCATGTGCTCTATCACGGTGTTCACGGCGACCTTTGCCACCATCGATATCTTCGCTGTCCTCGGGTTCAAGGCGGTGGCCAACTACGAGAAGTGTATTGAGTAGTAAGTATATTTATGTCTGGGTTTAAGATTTATTTTCGGGTTTAGGAAGGATGGGAGAGGCAGAAAGACCGACCTGTTGTGATTATATTGTAATTGTTGTTACGGTGTTTAATGTTGGAAGGAATTATTTGCAATGTCGACATTGGTTCTCGTGTATTTTATTTGTTTCGTTACATTTTATTTTGTTTGTTTGTTTGTTTGTTTCTGGTCACGTGTATATGTGAAATTACGAAATAAGATATTCACCCCTTAATAGTGTTGCAACCGAAACTTTCAAACTAATTTCAGCAACATCATGAAGCTGGAGAGCATTGCCCAGCATCTACCAGAACACACTCAGAAGATCAACGTAACGATTGAGAACTACGAGGAAACGTGGAAAACTGTTCTTGGTTCGATTCAAGATTTTTATGAACAGAAAACGCATCATCATATCAAGAACTGCAGTGTTGCTGACGAACTTAATCAGGTAAAATATTTTACAATCCATCCATCCATCCATCCATCCATCCATCCATCTGTCCATCCATCCATCCATCCATATCCCATCCATCCATTCCATCCATCCATCCATCCATCATCCATCCATCCATCCATCCATCCATCCATCCATCCATCCATCCATCCATCCATCCATCCATCCATCCATCCATCCACCCACCCACCCAAACACCCACCCACCCACCACCCACCCACCCACCCACCTACCACCCCATCCATCCATCCATCCATCCATCCATCCATCCATCCATCCATCCATCCATCCATCCATCCATCCATCCATCCATCCATCCATCCATCCATCCATCCATCCATCCATCTATCCATCCATCTATCGATCAATGTATATATCAGTATCTGTCCATGTGTGATTGTGTCTGTTTGCGTTGCATGCACCCTCGGGCTTTTATGAGTGCCAGTGCCCGTGCTTTTTCTTTCCTTACTTGATATTCAAATGCTCATACTATTTCTAAAATTGTACATATAAGCATAATCAGACACAATATTCACTAGAGTTGAAAGTTCCTTCCATTTGCAGGCTGCCGAGGGAACTGGTCTTGCATTTATTGTCTTTACACAAGCCATTGTGGAATTGCCCGGAAGCAACTTCTGGTCTGTCTGCTTCTTCATGATGTTGCTGGCACTGGGTCTTGGCTCGCAGTTTGGCACCATGGAGGGCGTCATCACCAATTTGTTTGACATGAAAGTGTTTGCAAGAATACGGAAAGAAATTGTTACAGGTAAAAGCAGCAGTGGATGTAGATCTTCAATACTAACAATCTTTGACGTTCATCTAAGGCTGGTATTGATACTAGTTATTAGAGTGGTTCATTTTTTTAAATATCAGGAAAAGGAGGATGAAAAAAAAAGTTTATTCACATTTTCCTACTATTATATATTTTTTGAATACTACAAATTAGTCTTGGTTATCCACATATAATTTGGATGGAATTATGTAACTGAATAATTTAATCCCATGATATAGCTTTTTAGTCCCATTACTACATTTTGACAAAACAATTTAGTTACAAGGTTAATGAATGTGCAAACAAGTCCTGTTTCACATTTGAATTTTTAAAAAAGTTAAGAAAAGAAGAAGAAATCTTTCCTTTGTCATTTTAAAAAATCTAAATGTTTAAAAAGGAGGGCAAATTACACTACCATGGTTTAGACATAACAATGAAATGATTTTGTATAAGAAATGAGAACGTGCTTTTCGTTAGTAAATGGCAGTTCAAATGACTTATTAATTGGTTTTCTTGCAGGATGTGTGTGCTTATCAGCTCTTTTGATTGGTTTGATCTTCTGCACGGGAGCTGGAGAATACTGGGTTGGCATGTTTGACACCTTCGCTGGCTCGATGGGTCTTATTGTGATTGCCTTCTTCGAAACAATTGTCATATCATATGTGTATGGCCACAAAAAATTCTCTGATGATATTGAGAAAATGATTGGTGAACGGCCAGGCATCTACTGGCAAGCTATGTGGCGTTTCATATCCCCACTCACCATCTTCTCCATTGTCGTGGCATCTGTCTACTACAGAGTCACTCATCCTCCAGATTACCCGGCTTGGAAGGCGGAGATGGTAAGTTGAAAGAAATTTAGTACCATTAAAAAACTTGCTGGTATTACATAGGTGGAAATGTATTTGGTAAAAAGATGTTACTGTAGCCAATATATTTTTTCTTTAAGTAAGGGTCATTTGAGTGTGCTCTCTGTTTAAGAAGTATAGCTGCCTTTATGTGTGTTACATTAATAGTTGAATTATGAACCCCTTCATTGTCACTGGTTTATTACAGATATTTTTCTAAAACTTTATGGGTTTTATATTGAAGTGTCCTTTTAGTTATTTTCCCTTGGCACTGCTTTCTTAGGGTACAAGTTTTTTTAGTATTATTGATGAAAATTATCTTTCACATTATATATTCAGATATCCTCAACATTTCTTCTGTATATTCAGATATATTGATTTACGTCTCACTGATATTTCAGAGTTATCTGAACTGTTTGTGATTCTAGGCAGTCAGATTAATTTAACTAATTTCAGTGTAGTGTATTTTGATTTAGTCTGTTCCCTGGTATAGTTTCCCTGGCATGAGTTGTAGAGTTAACCTGTTAGGTGTGGTAACTAAAATAGTATTTGAAAATCTAAGTGAAACACTTCAAATAATTATACTGTACATATCCTTTAAAAACCATTTATTTTTGGTGAGAGAAAAAAAAATAATGTAAAGTTCTCTTCCTGGAAACATTTTTTGGTTCTATAATTTTTCCTTTGTGTGTTGTACAGCTATCCTTCTCATAGAGTTATTTTTTCCTCCTGTATGGAACACTATTTTGTTTGTAGCCGCTGGGGATGGCATTTATGAACATGATATGGCCATTGTGAGTTTACTTTATTGATTGTCTTTGCACATTGAAGGCTCTATAAGTTACAGGCCATGAAGAAGTCAATTACTAGCTCTATCTTACCTCTTTAATCTTTTACTTATTGTTTTGGAAATATTATCTTTCATCTTATATTGCTATTAGTAATATTAGTAATGACTTTATAATATTTATAATATCTATTGTAATGATGACAGTATTGATAGCATTATTAAAAAAAAAACATTTTTCCTGAAAACTCAAAGAAATGTGAAATCAGGTGAGATCATAAGGTCTGCTAATTGACACCTTAGTGGCTGAGCAGTTTTTTCTTTTTTTTATTTAGCAAAAAAAAAAAAAAAAAACAGTTTTAATTACATTAGTTTTGATGTAGCATAAGAGGAAGCAATATGTGGGTATCTTGTTAGAGAAGTGATAACACACAACCTTTTTTTCTGCTTCTTATTCTTCTTTGTATTTATTTCCTGCTAAGATGTTATCCAAACTATTCTACCAAAATGTTTCTCTTCCAGGGTAATGCAGTTAAGGAAGCATACCCAGGCTGGGCCATGTTTGTATGCCTCATGCTGCTGATGGGTGGATTCTTGCCTATCCCTATCGTGTACTTTATGCGTCGCTTCCAATGCACACGATTTGACCATGACATCCAGACAGCTTCCATCAAAAGAGTCGAGACTACAATGTCGACGCAGGGCATGATCAAGAGCGAGGAGGTAAGGCATAAAATTTAATCAGGCAGTTGTGTTTTCTGAAGTACAAATTACCTGATAAGTTTCTTTTTCTCTCTCTTAAGGTTTGTTTGTATGAGTACATTATTGTATTTCAACAATAATGTAATAACAATAATATATTCAAGGATGTTTGCATACAGAGGATAGCAGAGTATGCACATCAGTGTAATGCAGTGCTGTGCTTTTATTAGATTACTAGATGGGTTTTTGCTGATGAACAAATGTTGAAGAGTCATAAAAAATAGGCATTGGCATAGGTATTACATCATTGCAATAATGATAGAACAAAGAAAAAGATTATGACATGACAGAGGAAAGCCTCACAGATCAATTTTTCCAGATGGCCATACCAGAGAATGAACTTTTTTTCCTAGATGTAGAGGTAAATTTCTTGTTAATTAACAATTGAATTGCTTTTACATTTTTTGTTTTGTTCTTCATAACATGACCTCCATTGTCTAGAAGGAATTTAGCAGATATAAGAAACTTAGTGTAAAATAGACAACTGGGATGTAGCTTTATGAGTGTGAAACACTTGAGGTTTATACATAATATTTACAGTTATGTGTATGTGATCATTCAGGTACTGAAACATTGGTACTAAGTACTAGGAATGAAAATTATTAGACTTTGTTTATGCTCCTCAAATCCTGTCAAATCATGGAGATGTTCAGTCCATGTACATCTAATTGTTAATGATGATATATCATAGCTTAGTTGCTAAAGAAAAACATTGCAACATACATTCATCCCTTGTTATGTTTTACCATATATCATGTTACAAGTAAAGTATACTCAGTCTGATTCTTAATCAGTTTTTGTGACAGTCCTCACTTGACATATTCATAAATATTCATTGTCATTTCTCCTCTTCACCCTAGCTTTAAAATTTGATAAATTCAGCACACAATGCTTCATTAACTGGGAGTTTGTCTTTGTGTATTAGTGAGTACTGCTGTGTCATAACATGTCACTTTACATTACACAATACAGCACAGCTCAACACACACAACACAACACAATGTAACATACATCACACAACACACACACAACACCACAACACAACACAACACAACACAACAAACAAACACACACAACCATAAAAAAGTGACATTTCCCCAAAAAAATTTGCACAGAGAGGCAAAAAAATACAGAGTAGCTCCCATTGGTTTGGATTATTACCTATGTCTGAAAACCTCTGAGGTGCAGTAACAAAATAGAAATGAAAATAATTAGATGTTTTAACTTTATTTTTAGTACAGTTAATTGATTTCTGGAAACATGTAACAGGCGGTAAAATAAATAAATGAAATATTGATGACAAAAACTACATGTCTGGAATCAGTGTTGTTTATGTGCCCACAGACAGGAATGATCTTTGATAGAACTGGCAACATAATATGCTTGAGATAAAAGGCAGATACCACAAATTTTTTTAAAGTTCAATCTGCATTTATTTTTAAGATGCTTGGCTAAATTGAACATCGGCAGTAAAATAAAGTTTATTTTACATTTAGTTTTATTTTGTTCACATCAGAATCAAATCATATCTGATCAGGTGTGGCAGGAAAATATAAATTCTATTTCTCAATTATAGTTATTTTCGAAATTTGGGAAAAACAAGTGCAGTGGATCTGTAAACCAAGGAATAAAATAAATGTCACCTAACATAACACTATTATATCATGAAAATAATGCAGTATACTTTTAACTAGAAATGAAATTTGCATACAAATTAGATTTTTTTCTGAACAATGGCTTAATATTAGATGTAGGAAAATGTATATGAATATCAAACTTTTTTTCTCTGTCTTTCTCTTACTGTCATATTCATACCCACTAAGAGTTGCAAAGGCACACATAAGTATAAACAGACACAGATGTATGTAGCCATGCAACACACACAACATACACACAATATGCATAATATTACATTCAATACTCAATACATGCAGCACACATATCATATAATATATATCATAAATACAACACATACAGCATACACAGTACATGTAACATACAGCATACATAGCACACACAATGCACATAGCTTACAGCACATATATCATACAATACATTCAATACATACAGCACACACAAAGCACATACGAGTAGCATGTAGCACACACAACTCACACAGCATAGACAACATGCACAACACAATACACACAACAGGCATAACATACACAATACACATAATGCACTGAGTACACAGGACATGAGCATACACAGCATACAAGCACCCACAACATTCACAGCACACGCAGAACACAATATTAACACATTGCACAGAGAGCATGCTTAACACACAACATACACAAATACACAGCACACAAAACACATACAATATGTATAGTACACCCAGCACACACACCAGATAAAACATACACAGTTACACAAAGCACATAAAAAACATATCATGTATATCACAAACAGTACACACAATACACAATAGACAAAACACACACACCATGTATAGCACACCCAGCAGACACACCACACGCAACGTACACGGCTATGCAAAGGGCATAAAAAATATATCATTCATAACACATACAGCATGCACAATACACAGTACACAAAGCACACACAGCATACATAACACCCTTGCCCCTCCACACACACTCAAATGAACACAGAAATTCATAGTTCATGCATTTATAACAGAATATAATTGTCTTCTCCCCTAAAGATAGTCTTACTTTTTCATCCTTTTGTTCTCTAGATATTTTCCTCACACTGAGTCGTCCAGTTTGCTATATAATTCTAACTTACCTTGCTAACCCTTTCTTTAGGCCTATTTTCTTTCTTTGTCATTAGAATTTGCATAGTTCATGACCTTGTTTGAAAGAGATTTAATAGATTGGAGTCAGCAATTTTTCAACTATGAAATTCCCTAGGAATAAAGTTCTCTGCAAACATCCTTTGTATTTTATTTCATGTTAATTTTGTATCATGTAACATAGATGTAAGTTGCCTTTATATTACAAGAAAGAGTTTCGATTATTTTTCTCGTTCAGGGAATTTTACTTGCTTTTATGGATCAAAGATTTAGAAATACTTTGAACCTCTATTTCCTCCCAAATGTTATTTAAGTTTTTATGAAAGGCCAAGCAGGAATAGTTGTGAGTGAACATTTACTGGTTATTTTTGGCCAGTATTTATTTATTTATTTTTTTTTTCTAAGACATGTAATGATTATATTCTAAATTTGTCATGATGCAATGTACGATCAATAATCATAGATAATTTCTTTCTTTTTTTACTGTCATTTTGCTAAGCATCCTTAACTATCCTCTTTGTTATTATTTATATATAATTTTTTTTCACCCAATGAGTAGCAATAAGGAAAAGAGGTATTAAGCCATTATTTGTAAGAGAAAAGGCCAAAATAAGAGTATGTCAGGTTCAGTAATAGCAAAAAGAAGAGATTATCAGCTAAACCGCAAGGCAGTGATAACTGTAAAGAATTGGCTTTAGCAGTAAAATATGGAGGTTGCTTTCCAATTTAAATTAATTCCGAATAAGTTAGAAAATGAAAATGAATTAAGATTAGATCTATAGGTTATTTAAGGTAGATATCACTCCCTTCTCAACCCCATAAAGGAAAATGAAACCTCAACAGTGGAAAGAAAGCGTTCAAGTAGTTCATGTAGTTCGCGTCGACTCTCTCTTACAGCCAATGCCACGAAGTGACACTTCAGATAGCGAGTGGACAAGACTCTTCATTGATAGGGTAGACTCTTCGGACAACCTTGATGACAATCTCTAAACAGAGAGGTTGAGGTGTGTAGGGAAGTCGAGAATAGTAGAGATAATAACACTATAGCTCTTAGCTGTTAACTACATCAAGCTGTGTCCCAGTAGGTGACGTTCTGAGTTTGCAACCAGCCAGTCTGTAACAACCATTCTATTTTCACTGAAGGCATAATAATTCAACCAGTTGTTTTAACCAACATAGAAAGTGTGTTTGGAGATTGGCTGTGTTATTTAACTTGGTCCATCACAGTGAACCAAACCATAGAGGCAGTGTTTGCTTTGACATTAATCATAGATGAAGATTTCTGCCATTTTCCCTCATAGACATGGAGAAGCATTGTGCGAAAGGTCTTTGAAATATTTTAGTAGGCTAATTAAAGGTTTTTGGTATTTTCAGGCTTTGAATTAACTGTTTTATATATCTACTAATAAGTAATATCCATGATATGCTTTTTTAATAACATGTGGAACTTATAATAATTACAGTATGAGTTGATCATACGTCATCACATATGAAATGTGTATGTATATGTTTTGGCAATTTTTGGAGTGCATTTGTAAGATGTTGTTCCTTTTTTCTGTGGTGTATTTGGAGAATGTTATTTAGAAGGGAATGAACTTGTGTGAAAATATTTTATTTATATATTATATTAATTCATTAGGGGTATATGTGGACCACTTCTCTGTCCATATATAGTACATTATTATGACAGAAGCTGTGTTATTGCTGATTATTGTTAGATTACAGTTTAACATATCTGTGCTATTATTGCAACCAGACAACTTCTTAACTTTGGAAAAGTAAGATATGTAAGTAGCATGGAATATGATCATGTTCATGTGTGTATTGTGAAAACCAATAGAAAATTTTGGTTGCTTACCTAGCTTCAAAAACTGGCAATGGAATACCACACTTCTTTTGACAATTACATTGATTGTCAAGAAATTTTATTTTCAGCATTAAGTATCTATATTTACTTACCTTTCAGTTGAATGATGGGAGCCCTTACATACTGTCTTATACTTAAACTTACTTACATTTACATGAAAAATTGTCTGTTTCACTGGATTGTTAGTAGATTAATTCTGGGATTGACTTAATCAATTTGAAGGCATATTGGTGCTGTCCCTTGCATTACTATAAATGTTTCTGATGTTTATTTTTTCTTCATCCTCATTTAGGAATGATTGTTGGCAGTTGCTAATTCAGTGCATAAATTTCCAAATTAAAATTTTGTAGAATCCCTGGATTTTCTTAAGATATACATGTATTATTTGCAATGTATTTATGTTTTCTTTAAATTAATATGATATAACAATTATTAATCAGTATCCAATTACTACATGCATGTTGAAAATATACCCACCTTTGCAAAGTTGACCCAGAAAGTTAATTTGCAGTAATTCTTAGCCAAGATGCTGCAAATAACCCAGTAGAAGGTTTGGAAAACCTAGCAAGATATTTAAATGTCAGTAATGATAAACTACTTAAAATATTTCATTGTACTATATTATTTTGGTATAACATGTATGAGGGTAAGCATCATTATCATTATTATTTTTCTTCCAATTTTACTTCAGCATCAGCGGTATGCACAGCCTCTAAACATGCTGTGTTTTTGCCACTGGCTGTTTGGTGTAGGCAAGAATTATGATATTGAGGTAAACTCATGTTCTATGGTGCCTCACATTCAAGCAGTTGCTTTCTCACATGCACTGAAATGAGCACGTTGAACCGTGAATTTAGATCTGTCATTTTTATTATTAATGCACCAAATATCATACTGAAGTCCTGATAAGATGATTATCTTAATGGATGAATAGGCTGAAAAATAATATTGAAATGTGTTTGAAATGTCAGTAAGCTTACATGATAAATTTAGTTGTTAACATTCAAATATATGAATAAGAAAGATATTTTATTTTTTCAAATGGATTGATAGCGATAATCTAAAGTAAAGAGGCAATTGATTTAGCCTTAAAACAAGAGGCTATTAAAGATGCAGCTGTATTGAGCTGCATATCTTTGATTTGACCATTACTTTTCTATTGGGGCTGTCTGCTGTTCCTTAATGTTGTAAATGTTTTGCTCAAAATTTTGTTAGATGTGCATATCTCTGTGTACATGTACAAATTTATGTATTTATTTTTATCTGCTGTGCAAACTGCATACTATACATGTGTGTGTGTGTGTGTGTGTGTGTGTGTGTGTGTGTGTGTGTGTGTGTGTGTGTGTGTGTGTGTGTGTGTGTGTGTGTGTATGTGTGTGTGTGTGTGTGTGTATGTGTGTGTGTGTGTGTGTGTGTGTGTGTGTGTGTGTGTGTGTGTGTGTGTGTGTGTGTGTTGTGTGTGTGTGTGTATGTGTGTGTGTGTGTGTGTGTGTGTGGTGTGTGTGTGCTGTGTGCTGTGTGTGTGTGTCCATCGAATTATAAAACATTTTGCTGGCGGATTCTATGTATCATATGCTTTCGGGTGTGTGGGTGTGTGTGTAGTGTTCTAGAACTTAGTGTTGTGTATGTGTGTGTATTTGTTGTTGTTGTGTGTGTGTGTGATTTGTGACTGTATGTGTGGTGTGTGTGTGTGTGTGTGTGGTGGTGTGTGTGTGTATTGTATTTTTCTTTCTTTCTTCTCTTTATTTATTTGTATGAGTTATATATGTATTGCATATAATACACCTATATATACTGGTATATATAGTATTAATATATTTATATATATATATATACTATAATACCTCGCTCTTGATTCTAATGCCTACTATGCGTCGATTACTTAATTGCATTAAGTCTTCGAACTCTTCTTGATGGAAGTGCTAGTTCATGGATTGTCTATATTGGATCAATAATTCATACGTGTGCACGTTTGAAGCTCTCAGATAAATGTAACGTGCATATTAAAATGGTTGTGACACGACTAGGTATAAGGACATAGGAATCCATCACATCTACAGCATTGAGGCATTACAAAAATGCATGGCCCATGCACTGTGACTCGGTTATATTGACTTCTATCCTTTAACTTGACATTTACCTTCTGTGGGAATGATAGAATTATAGTTTTTTAGGTAGAATATTGTTTGTTATATGGATATAATAACTAATAGTTCTCAGCATGAGATAAACATATTAATAGTGACTCTAGACAGCACAGAACAGGAAACAAGCAATCAGACCGCTGAAAAATATTAAGAGTGTAGGTATGGTGTTATTCACTTCTTCTATAAAAAGATACCCAACATATTGTTTTCCTCTTATGCTACAATCAAAAACTATGTAATTAAACTGGTTTATTGCTAGATTTTTTTTTTTTTTTTTTTGCTTAATAAAAAAAAGACAAAAACTGCTCAGCCCACTAAGGTGTCAATTAGCATACCTTGTGGAATCTCACCTGATTGTTTCACAATTTCTTGAGGTTATTCATGGAAAAATGTTTTTTTTTTTAAATTAATGCATCAGAATACTGTCATCATTACAATTAGATTATATACAATTATTATAAAGTCATTTAAATTATTACTACATAGCAATATAAGATGACAAGATAATATTTCCAAAAAAATAAGTAAAAGATTAAAGAGGTAAGATAGAGCTAGGTAATTGACTTTCAGTGGCCTGTAATTCTAGAGCCTTCAATGTGCAAAGACAATCATAAAGTAAACTCACAATGGCCATATCTATGTTTCATAAAATGCCATCCCCAGCGGCTACAAACAAAATAGTGTTCCATACAGGAGGAAAAATAACTCTATGAGAAGGATAGCGTGTACAACACACAAAGGAAAAATTAGTAGAACCAAAAAATGTTTCCAGGAAGAGAACTTTACATTATTTTTTTTCTCTCACCAAAAATAAATGGTTTTTAAAGGATATGTACAGTTTATAATTATTTGAAGTGTCTTCACTTAGATTTTCAAAATACTATTTTAGGTTACCACACTTAACAGAGTTAACTCTACAACTCATGCCAGGGAAACTATTACCAGGGAACAGGACTAAATCCAAAATACACTGCACTGAAATTAGTTAACATTAATCTGACTGCTGAATCACAAACAGTTCAGACTAAACTCTGAAAATTCAGTGAGACGTAATAATCAATATATCTGAATTATACAGAAGAAATGTTGAGGATATCTGATATATAATGTGAAAGATAATTATTCATACCCAAATGACATTACTAAAAAAAACTTGTTACCCTAAGAAAGCAGTTGCCAAGCGAAAATAACTAAAAAGACACTTCATATAAAACCCATAAAGTTTTAGAAAATATCTGTAATAAACCGACGGACAATGAAGGGTTCATAATTTAACTATTAATGTAAACACACATAAAGGCAGCTATACTTCTTAACAGAGAGCACACTCAAATGACCTTACTTAAGAAAAAATATATTGGCTACGAGTAACATCTTTTCACAAATATACATTTCCCACCTTTGTAATACCAGCAAGTTTTTTAATGGTACTAAATTTCTTTCAACTTACCATCTCCGCCTTCCAAGCCGGGTTAATCTGAGGATGAGTGACTCTGTAGTAGACAGATGCCACGACAATGGAGAAGATGGTGAGTGGGATATGAAACGCCACATAGCTTGCCAGTAGATGCCTGGCCGTTCACCAATCATTTTCTCAATATCATCAGAGAATTTTTTGTGCCATACACATATGATAATGACAATTGTTTACGAAGAAGGCCAATCACAATAAGACCCATCGATGCCAGCGAAGGGTGTCAAACATGCCAACCCAGTATTCTCCAGCTCCCCGTGCAAGATCAAACCAATCAAAAGAGCTGATAAGCACACACATCCTGCAAGAAAACCAATTAATAAGTCATTTGAACTGCCATTTACTAACGAAAAGCACGTTCTCTTTCTTATTAAAAAATCATTTCATTGTTATGTCTAAACCATGGTAGTGTAATTTGCCCTCCTTTTAAACATTTAGATTTTTTTAAATGACAAAGGAAAAGATTTCTTCTCTTCTTTTCTTAACTTTTTTAAAAATTCAAATGTGAAACAGGAC